GAGTCTGCCATCATGTAGGCAGCTGCCTCTGCTTCCCCACAGAGGCCTCCTGGGGAGGAACTACATTAAGGGATTTATAAATTGGCACTTTTCTGGCCTGTGTTCTAGATCTTGAACAGATACTGCATTTATTTTAAATATTGTTGTTCTACTGTAAGGAAATACTTTTTTTTTTTTTTTTTACAAAGTCATTGCTTGCGTATTAATGAAGAAGTAAGGATGCTGCCTCTGCTTCCCCACAGAGGCCTCCTGGGGAGGAACTACATTAAGGGATTTATAAATTGGCACTTTTCTGGCCTGTGTTCTAGATCTTGAACAGATACTGCATTTATTTTAAATATTGTTGTTCTACTGTAAGGAAATACTTTTTTTTTTTTTTTTTACAAAGTCATTGCTTGCGTATTAATGAAGAAGTAAGGATAAATTTTGAAAAAGTTACGGCAAAAATATTAGTACTTGGGTTAAAAAAGGTCTGTGTGTTTTGGGTTCTGTCTGTCTGTCTTTCTGTCTGTCTGTCTTTCTGTCTGTCTGTCTTTCTGTCTGTCTGTCTGTCTGTCCGTCTTTATCGCATCCAACCAGTCTTTAACTCAATGAAGCTCAATGCTGAATTTTTCCACACATTTCCCCGTATAGTTCAGCATGCATAGGGCACTGGATTATAGACATTGTATTGAATAAATGATTTTTTTAAACGTTTAGAATTAATACTCTGAGGCATGCTTGTTCTAAAGGGAATTTGGATGTTATTTATTTGGCTTTGACTGAAACTGAAAAATTCTTGAAATGCTTTTTGCCTCAGTGCTTTTTCTACTAACATGGAGCTGGCATACAAGTAGGGAAAAAACTAAAGATCAACATTCCTAAAAATGAATATCATACTAATACTATATCATAATAAAAAATAATGAAAACCATATGAAATTTATGGGGTTTGTAGATTTGTCAGTCTCAACTGCTGCTGAGAATTCCTTCAGATCCATTGACATAAGAAATACATATACATACATATGTATATATACATACACACCCTCTACACACACACATAGATTTGAGGTCTGAGCTTTTACAAGAGCAGAATAGAGCAATTTAGCCATATTGGAGATAAGGCTCAGACTACCCTGTGCAATCTTAAAACATTATGGGATTCTGGTATTTTTTTTACTCCTGCTTCTACTAGAAGTTAATTATTGCTTTCATCCCTTGGGGTTAAAAGCTAGGTAATGATGATAAAGCTCACTTTCAGGGATTTACAGTGTGGATTTTGTCACAGTATGCAAAGGATGTTCATGGCTCTGATACTGTTCCTTTCATTTCTTGACTGAACCCCCTGCAGTCCTTACTGAGTTCAATGAAACATGCCTGTGAGATCTTAACAAGCGACCCAGAAGGTGGAGCAGCTCGCGTTCCCTTCGAAACATTCTCATTCCTTTACTCCTATTTGGCCAGTATCGATGGAGAAATACCAGAGGAGAAAACTGAAGCATTTCTCCACGGAATTAAAGAACAAGCGTAAGTAAAAATCCATGCAAGGAACTGGAATGTATGGATCACCTCTCGGTTCTCCATAGACCTTTAATTCCAGGTGAATAGTCCATTTTCACTTTGGGTGTAGCCACAATGACTGGAGTAAAAGTTGACTAAGGTTATATTGAAAGTGTATATAGTTATTTTTTGTTAAGTGGTCAGCATCAGGGTTTGAACTGTTAAATGATAAATTATTATTTATCCATCTTTCTTTGAAATATCAAAGTCACTACGTGGTGCTGTAATTTTCCCTGTAGGAAGCAATTATATACAGCTTTGTATCATCTGCTTATTAGTGGTACTGGAACGAGCAGCATCTTATGGGCTGCTCTTGTGATTTAACATAGACCATAAATCAGAGAGAGTAACTGGGGCTTCCCACTTGAAGTCTGAAGTTTCTGTCATGTTTCTCCTTCTCCCTAGAAATTTTATTGGGGAAATATTTAGTGAATCCTTGGTCTTAAATGGTTTGGCTCTTCAATTTTTGTCGTATTAGCTATGGTAAATCGTCCTTCCTGGAATGGTCTTAGTGTTTGTTGCCTTCAGTGGATATAAAGGACAAAGGCAGGGCACAGTCCCACCTGAATATTTGTACCAAGTTGGGGTGGTTGGGTACATTTCTAGTCTGCTGTATTTCTCTTTCTGCTTGCTCTGGGGTTGGCTGTGTAGTTTGGTGTCAGCCTTGTCAGTCTGCCATGAACTGACACAGTTCTTCCGCATGAGGTACGGAGG